TATTTTCAGTTCCTATCTGTACCAGTGTACCTCCTCTGGTCTAGCCAGACTTGCAAGATCGAATTCGAGTCATGGTAGTGGGAGCGGGGAGAAAACATTTAGGAACTAGAGGAAAGTTGTATTTCTCATCATTGTTACATCGCACCCTGACTGGCTCATCTCCTCCCCGATGTTCTTTCTTTTTTTCAATTTTGCTTGCTTTCCTATCACAGATTTCTCGGCTTTTTTTTTATTAAAATATTTTATTGGGGACTCTTACAGCTCTTAATAACAATTCATATATGAATTGTATCAAGCATTTTTCTTCATATATTGCCATCATTATTTTCTAGACATTTGCTTTCTTTTTTTCTTTTTAAACACTTTCTATTGAGTCCTTGGTATCAGCTCCTCTTTTTTTCCCTCTCCCCCGCCACTCTCGTGACCTCTTGAGAAATTCTAAGTTCTTATCATTTTCATCTTATACCAGTCGCTGTCTCCCTTCCCCCACGATTTCTGTACAAATACTTGAAAAGGAGCATCAAGTGGTAAGACTCGCATTAATGTGAGGTTGTTCCATAAGGTGTTCCTTGCTGTTTCATTGGTATTATGTGCACTTGCAGATTTTAACATCATCTTGAGATACTTAGTCTAAATAACTGAAAACAAGAAAACAGCTAGGGCTAAAGCTAATTATATTATGACACTTAAACAGAAGCGTTATGAAAGTCTACTCCAAATATATGTTTGTGTACCTAACCCAATGAAACTGGCTCTTTGCAGTAAGTTTTAAATGGCATTGTTGAAATTATGGATCTTTTTAAAAGATTTGGTTTTTATTAATTTTATGTATTAAATATTCACAATTGACTTTGAAAAGAAATATGTATACATGACCCAATTTGACTTAAATGAACTTAGTAAAAGAAAGCAATATCTGCTCATCTATTAAATCTTTTTATTTTTCAAATCTGGTAAACCAAGAGCAAACTTTTAACTAAAAGATGTCCAGTTTTTAAGGATCTCTGAGTGTTACAGAAGCCAACCTCCATACTTCAGAAATATGTCCAAGACAGATTTGGCCAATACTTACCAAATTATTTTCAAAACTTAAGCTCTCCAACCATTACAATTTTTTTGTGACAATTGAATATTACAAATACACTCAAAATTTCACCTGTGTTTTGGTTGTTATTGGTGGTTTATTAAGTATTCTTAAAGTATCTGCTCGTTCTTGACATTTCTTGTCCGGATGAGTGGTTGAATTTTTCTTATATTAGTGGCTCCTCATACTGAGGAAAGTATACTGTAGAAGTTATATATTTTGAAATTTCTAGATATTTTAGAAGTTAGGGGTACTTAAAGGAATGAGAACTTGCTTTGTATAGTGATTGTATTTTCAGGTGTTGGCATTTTTTTCCCTTTATTTTTCAACAGGGGTAAACCTACTGAAGCTGATGCTGTGGATAGATCATTTGGGGAGAAACATTACGACCCTGTCCAGGCCACTCCTCCACCTCCTCCTCTACCATCTCAATATACTCAGCCTGTCACCAACAATTCGCTGACCCTTCACACACATTCCAAGGGACCCCATGGGGAAGGTACAGTTCAAAAGTTAACATTGCCGCAACATACTAAACCTTGTCAATATTAAATAGAATGTTTTTTACATAAATACATATCTGAAGAGTTTAGGCTGGGAACAAAAAAGAATAGTGCTTTGTTAAAATTCAACTGTCTTTATGATGTGTGACCATTGTATCTTATAAACCTTTTAGTAGCTAGATTTTTAAATCTTAGCTTAACTCAATTTCAAGGCAGCCTCCAAAACAACCAAAAGTAGTATTTCTTTTCCAGTGCATCTGAATCTAAATACTTCAGTGGTGATTTGTAAAAATCACTATTCTGCATAGGAAAGCCTATCTATATCCTTGAAAAGAATGGTGAAGTGCATCTAGTGGAAGAAAGCACTTCTTTCTTACTTGTTGCAGTGAATGTCATTGCTAAGAGGTTTCTTTGAAAAAATGTTCTATCTTCATAATTGAGTATTTTTTTTAATGTGAAATATTTTATTGCAGCAAAACATAGAAACCCCAAACCAAACTCACTGCCATTGAGTCAATTCTAATTCATAGCAACCCTGTAGGGCAAAGTGGAACTACCCCCTCTGGGTTTCCAAGGCCGTAACTCTTTACAGGAGCAGAACACTTCATTTTTCTCCTGCACAGCAGCTAGTGGCTATAGCAGCAGCCTGAAATTTCCACTGAGCTTTGTTGGTTTGTCTTTTTTTTTTTTTTTTTCAAATCTATCATTGTCTGTCTCCCTTTCATATCCAGAGGTACTACCACTTTAAATTTGGCATCTATTATCCAATGTATATTTCTGCATGTTTCTTAAAATTTCACATAAAATGTATCCCTTAGCAACTTTGCCTTTTGCCACTTACATTCCTGTGCAAAAATCTCAGCAGGTTTAATAGAGCTTAAATTTATTCAGTTTTTTTTGTCACCTTTTTTTTCCCTAATCATTTTATTAGGGGTTCATACAACTCTTATCACAATCCATACATACATCAATTGTGTAAAGCGCTTTTGTACATTCATTGCCCTATCATTCTCAAAACATTTCCTTTCCACTTAGTTTAATAGCTGTATAATATTTTGCCCTAACAGTAATTATAATATATTTAATCCCTAGTTGACAGATACTGTGATACTACAGATAGTACTTAAGGGTTATCTGTGTTTGAGTAAAATTTTAAAATATGTAAGTCTTCAGACAAATTGTAATTTTAGAATGATGCTACATTATGCTAATTTAATTCTGACTCTTCAACCTTTATTCTTTTATCTTCCTCATTCTAGTTATTGAGATACTGAGAGAAAATATGTTTGCCTTGTTCCTGATCCTAGGGAACTAGACAACTTTATGATATTGCTTACATGTTTTTCTGAGATGTTTATGTTTAGGATGTCTCTTCTATTCCTATTGGTTGAAAGTATTTTGCCAAATGTTTTTTCAAATGTGTGTAAAACGATTTTAACATTTTTCTTCTTTAGTCTGTTAATGTGGTAAGATTTATTACTATGCTCACAAGGAATTTTGGTATATCACTCTCTTATGCCCATGTCTGGTTTTGTTACTTTATGCTAATTTTTACACGAGAGAGGAGGGACACATTTCTTATTCATATTCCATCAGTATCATTTTACTCACCACCCACAGTAGACCAATAATTTCTGTTGTTTCATATTCTTGTGAGTTCTGCAGTATTATGAAACTTGGAAGTTTGTCAATCTAATGTATATATAATGTTACTTTATGTTGCAAAAAAGGCCATGGGAGTGATGTCTGACCTCCTTAGACTTTACAAAGAGTAAGGAGAATCAAAATTCAACATCACCTCTCTGCCAATTCCTAGGATGGTGAGGCCAAACATATCTCCTCTCCAGCCTTCTTTTACTAATTCTGACAACAAGCTGATCCTCTTACTGTAGGCTCCACGTCTGCCTGGTTCAATAATTCATTGCAATAACCACACAGAATGCATAGGCAGTTAGAGGTCACAGCCCTGGATCAGAAATACTCAAGGATATAGTTCTTTAGTCAGAACAGCCTTTTTTCAGCCAAGCCCACAGACAGAGATTTCTTTTGTCAATGACCTCTCAGCCACCAGGCCCATTGCCCTCTGCCCTGCTTGGACAAGGTTTAAAAGCTTTTTCAGTTGTATTAATGCCCAGAGGGCATGCTACCTTCACTATAAATCTCAGGCCAAATTTTGTTAACTCTAATTCCATAGGTATACAAACTTTGCTCCCCAATTAAGTGCCTGTATGTGCCCCTCTGCAAATGAGCCTCCTGTCTAAGGGAGGAGCTTTACTTGCGCTGTGGGCAAGGAAGCCCACTGCATTGCTATGTGCTTAAGACCTTGGTCCTGCTGCTTCTCTGGCATTACCACTTTGTCCTTGGATTAAGGACCTTGAATTCTGAGGGACATCAGGGTCCAAAGGATATACTCCCCACCAGGCTCGCTCTTTTTTTTCATCATTTTATTGGGGCTCATACAACTCTTAGCACAATCCATACATACATCAATTGTATAAACCAGGTTCTTTCTTGATGGTAATGAGATTCCCCACTTCTGCATCTGAGATGGCTTGTTTTCTACCCAGCAGAGTGGCAAATTGATCAATTCCATATTAAGAGTTAAAAGTGTCTCTAACCATAGTTAACCTGTTAACAGTTAACTTACAGCTGAATCATATAGTCTTCTCCCTTATTAATTTACACTTGTCAGGAAAAAAGTGGTTTGGTGGGAGTTGTAGAGACTATGGCTATAAGAGCCATGTCAATGAAATCACTGTACCACATGCTATTTCTGTTGCATTTTTCTAATTGTTAATGAAGTTGAATATCATACATGATCACTGGTTTGGTTATGTTTTTGATGTTGATTCATTATAAGTTTTGCATATTATATAAATAGCTTCTCCCAATCTGTAGTTTTTCTTTTGAGTTCATGATTATGGTGAGTTTTGTATGCATGGGTTTTTGGGTTTTTTTTTTTTTTATTGTACTTGAATTTTCCATTTTTCATCTAATTTGTGACAAAAGTTAAAGAGTAGTTGTATGGAAGACTTTGGAGGCCAGGGCCCTTAGCATGAGCCTTGCTCCAGAGCAGCATTATACAGCAATAGTTTCATATGTGTTCCCCCTGCCTCCTGGTCCCTCTGCATCACACACAGCCACCGGAGTTTAAGAGCCACCCTTTGATTGTGGCAACCCAGCCTTGGGCCTCAACTCTGGCACTGAGGCAAGTTGAGATGGGAGAAACATTAGAAGGACTGTTAAAACTTCTTCCAGAAAATGTTTTAATTGCTGCTATCTGTTTGCCTTTTAGGGAATTTAATGTCGTTGGATTTTCAGAATTCTTTAGTGTCCATATCAGACCCGTCTCCCCTTCAGAATAAACCAGCAACTTTCAGACCATCAAACAGAGAAGATGCTGCTCAGTCTACTTTTTATCCTCCCAAAAGTTTCCCAGATAAAGTTTCAGTTAATGGAGCTGAACAGACTCAGAAAACTGTCACTCCAGCATACAATCGATTCACACCAAAACCATATACAAGTACTGCTAGACCATTTGAACGCAAGTTTGAAAGTCCTAAATTCAATCACAACCTTTTGCCAAGTGAAACTGCACACAAACCAGACATGTCTACAAAATCCCCAACCTCTCCAAAGACTGCCCTGAAAGCCCACAGTTCAGTACAGCCTCCTGAGTTTGACAGTGGAGTGGAAACCTTCTCTATTCATGCAGATAAGCCTAAATATCAATCAAATAGTACCAGCACAGTGCCTAAAGCTATTCCTGTGAGGTAAGAATTCTGCCTTCTTAAACATTGACTGTGCCATTTGTCTTGTATGAGTTTTATACTGTTTTTGTGATTTGGTATTTAAACTAAGTTTAACTCTAGCTTTAAACAAAGTGTTATCCAAAATGATGTTACAATGAATAGCATTGCCAAGAAGGTTCCACAAGAATTTTTTTTAAAGAAAATAAAATTATGTTAATGAATAATAAAGCTAACAATCATGTGTGGCTAGTAACTATTGTCATTATGCCCCATTTTACTGAAAACACGTAGAATGACACTGAACAGTTTGTCCAGGATCCCACACTCAAGGGTAATTAAACCCAAATGTAGTCTCAGGTCATTTAGCCTCAGAGCCCATAGCTTTCACCCACCCTCTTCCAGTTGACCTTTGACTGGCAAGGCATACTTGAAGACTCTAAGAAATGTTTCTACATTCCTCAATCACTGTTGTTAAATCAGTGGTGTTAAAAATAAATGAAGGTGTAATAACCATGAAACATCTGTTGAAAAAAGCAAGTAAGGCAAAGTAAGCTTTTCTGGAACGTGATCTTCTGTCATTCAAAAGTGGCAAGCTAGGCCTATTTTGGCCCCATGTATGTACATCTCAGCCTCCTAATTCTGTTAGGATTTCAAGCCACACAGTGAAGCAGAAGTATTCGCAGACATAAGTAAAAGCTACCAGGGCTGCTTCCCAGAAGAAAGGACACTCCTGTCAGTTTTCTATCTCTGTCGTTTCGGGCCTTGACCCATCAAAGGGTAGAGCAGTTGACTCTCCTGTGAAGAGTTTCATAATGTCACATTATCGGGTGATTGTACTTCACTGCCTGTCATTGCCACAAGTATTCTTGTTGGTTCTGACATGCTAGAATGGCGGTTTAGCTACCATTCATATATTTCGATTTTGTTTGTCTTCACCTTAAGTTCTGGCTCAAACTTTGTTTCAAGAAGTTTTCCACAAGTAATAGCCTCACCTTTTTTTTTTTTTTTTTTTCGTGGTTAAATTGCTTTTTATTTATTTATTTATTTTCGTTTTATTGGGGATTCTTACAATTCTTATCACATTCATACATCACTTACATCAGGCGAATTTGTACATATGTTGCCTTCATTCTTTTCTAGACATTTACTTGCTATTGAGCCCTTGGTTATCAGCACCTCCTTTTTTTTTTTACCCCTTCCACCCCTCCCTTATAACCCCTTGATAGATTGTACATTGTTATTGTTTTCATATCTCACACCGACCCATTGTCTCCCTTCTCCCATGTGTTCTGTTGTTCCTGGAGAGGGGTGCATGGTTATGTGTCGATCATTGCAATCAGTTGTCCCTTCTCCCTACCTCTTCCCCCTACCCTTGTTAGCAGTATTCCCACTCCTGTTCCTGGATTCTGTGTGTCGTGAGCTCCCATCTGTTATCTACACATGTGTACATATGCCAATCTAGTCTGCATTGAGAAGCAGCACTGGGGTCATGGTAGTGGAGGGTGAGGAAGCCTCAAGGTACCAGAGGACTATAGTGTGTTTACTCAATGCTTTATTGCACCCTGGTTGACTTCATCCCTTTCCTGTGCCCTCTCTGTGGGGAAATTGTTCTATTTTCTATAGATGGGCCTTGGATCTCTGCGCCACCCCTCCCGCGTTCTCAAAACTATGTTTTTGTTTGTTTGTTATTTGTCTGCTGATGCCTATTACCTGGTCACTGTGACTCCTCATAATCTCACCGGCAGTGTGCTTCTTCTATGTGTACTTGTTGCTTCTCTGCTGAATGGCGACTTGTGTAACTTCAAGCCATTAAGACCCCAAATGCTATAACTTTTAATAGTCAGGCACCATCCGCCTTCTTCACCACATTTGCTTATGCACCCGTTTTGTTTTCAGCGATTGTGTTGGAAGGGTGAACATCTCAGACTGCCAATTTGTTAGAACAAAGTGTTCTTGTATTGAGGGAGGGTGTGAGCAGAGGCCCGAAGTCTATCCCCTACCTCAGTTATTGCTATATATAAATATATGGACATAGGCCAATGCCTCTATTTTTGTGGATTAATGTATTTATATGTGTACACCGCTATGTTTATACCTCTATCCATTGCTTTGCTTCCTAGGTCCTTCCTCTGTTTCCACCTGCTCCACTGTCACCTTCCCCTTATTTCTGCCTCATGGTATCTCCTCTTAGCTAGTTTGCTGTTGCTCGGACACAACACACACACCCATATCCCTGTCTCCTCCTTATTGACTCCAACACCCCAGTTGTTCCCCTGTCCATGACGCTGCCTGCTCACCTCCCACTTCCCCACCACCCTCACCCCCAAGGTCTCCCCAGGACCATTGGTCCCGCTGCTCTCTCTGCAGGCATGCCTCCCGTGCCTGTCCTATATAGGTAGGCACGCTGACTATGACATAGCCCAAACAGATTGAAAAGAGAGAAAAGAAAAGGGATAAAGAAGGGGAAAAAAGAAGAAATATACAAAAATCCCAGGTCTGTTCACTAGCCTTCATGATTGTCCCAGCCTGGAACCTTCCCCCACCCCACCCTGCCCCCCTTGGGGGCTCCTCAGGGGCTTCATAGCTCTGCCTTGCTCCAACTGCTGCTCTGGTGTGCTTAGCCTCACTTTTGAAGCATTAATTGATTACTGTGTACCCTGTCTTGTGTCTTTGGTAATTTTCGTGTCCTAAGTTTATGCACTAGTCTTTTCTCGTGGATGTTTGGTATGTACCCATACCAAATTCTTACCTCCTCAGACTATAGACTTCTTGCCCTGCCAGCATGGACCTATGATACTTGGAATGCCAAGGAAGTCAACAGACTTAACTGAAAGAACTTGGAGTTCTTGTCAGGCAGGTTAGAATGTTGTCTGCTGAGCTCTACAGTAACAAGTCAATGTGCGCACTTAAAATCCTAGAGTGATCCCGGAATGAGTTTATTCTTTCGAAGTCTGAGATGCCATCAGTTGCACCATTGTTTTATATAAAAAGGAAAAGTGCTCTCAATTGAAATATGATTTCTTAGTAATTTTAATACACCAGTATAATGATGGTCAAATGTGCTCTTAAAGTCTGTGGGTACACAGGAGTCAGTTTTATATACTTATGTTGCAATAAATCAAAAATAAGTAACTTGGTTTCAAAAATGAAAGTAATTTTTCAAGAAAGAGACATCTTTCAGTTGTCATTTCTGTGAGTAAAATCTGTCACTAAAAACTATATTGTTGAAAAGAGTGACACTACCTTTTAACATAGGAAAGGGGAGTTTTTGTATATTAGTAGGAATTTACTTATTAGTCATTTTTGAACTCTTAGCCCATCAGCTGTGGAAGAAGATGAAGATGAGGATGGTCATACTGTGGTAGCCACAGCCCGAGGAGTCTTTAACAGCAACGGTGGGGTATTAAGTTCCATAGAAACTGGTGTTAGTATAATTATCCCACAAGGAGCCATTCCTGAGGGAATCGAGCAGGAAATATATTTCAAGGTCTGCCGAGACAACAGCATCCTCCCACCTTTAGATAAAGAGAAAGGTAAATGTTTATTTTTATGTTTAACTTTAAAACAAGTTTCCCTGTGTGTGTTCTTCAAAGCTTATAGTGATCAACCAAGAGGAACTCTTGTGAACTCTCATTTGGTTTCTGTATAACCATAGCATGCTTCTTTTAAATTAATATTTGTGTCAGTATTTCTCAAGTAAGGGTAAGCCACCTGAGAAAGAACTATTATGTCCATGAAGGAAGTAATGGGTTCAGCAACTTTTGGTGGTTAAGATTAACCAGGTAGTCCTTGCACACATTTTTATTTTCAGTAGGAGATTGAAAGTGAATACAGGCAATGTCATTGTGCTTTCTTCGCATCTTGGCTTAACTCTGAATAAATTTGTCTTTAGAATCAACCCATTTATTTCTAGGGATAGGTTAGGCAATGTTTCTCTGTTTGCCTGGCGCTGGAATATTAGCCTCTTGCAATAAGTGCTGTCTTACCATCTTAGAACCTCCAAAACCACTCTGCTGTTGAGTCAATTCTGACTTAAAGAACAGACTAGAACTGCCCCTGTGGGTTTCCAAGAGTGGAGCTCTTTACAGCTCTCTAGAAAGCCACAGCTTTCTCCCATGGAGTGGCTGGTAGTTTCGAACTGCTGGCCTTATGGTTAACAGGCCACCAACACATAACATACTGTGCCACCTAGGTATTTCCTCCTTGGAACCTAGCACTAGTAAATACTCAACAGAGAATTAATTAAACTAGCAGATATTATAGTATATGTTACTGAAATATTAGGAATCTGGGAATGGTAGATTTTTTTTGGTAATGTTTCTAGATCAGAGTGATAGCATTAACCATGTTAACGATCCCCCCC